TTTGCACTAACATCTGTAGCATGGTCAGTAGCAGTAACTACTTCATTATTATCAGGAAATGATTTTATAGGGCATACACACTGAGCCGTTTGGCCCCCCAGAGCGTTCCGTTTGCAGATCTACCCACCTTGGGAACCGTAATCGTTTGCAGGGCCCGTTTCCGCGTTTCTGTTACGACTCGTCTGAACGAACGGGCTATACGAAAGAGAAAAGTAGCGGATACAACCGTTTGCGTTCTCGTGTAAACAGCACCTTAGAGTTTCACCCCTGCTTTGATATTTTATTCTGTAGGTATCAAATTCTCAATTTAATTTGGGATATTTTTTGACAGTAAGTAGTACCTCGAAAGACATGAAGGTGAAGGGCACATTTCTGAAATCAGTATAATACATTTAGACGCTGGCCATTCATGCTTCAGTATGTCTGGTCTGCAACTCACCAACACATGGCTAAATAACACTAGTTGAAGTTGTGTTTTTGACCTTCTCTAAGCTACCGAACACAGAGAGAGTCTTTAGGCGTAATTTGGCAAAATAATGATCAATTTGGGATGTAGGATAGTCAATAAAGAAGAAGAGTGTAGGATTGGCTCCACTTGAGTATTATACAAATATTATTTAATACAGATATACTGTAGATGCTTCCACTTTCTGGAGCACAGAGACATACTTTAATTATCATTTTCTTGATAAATAAAGCAGTAAAGTACAGTCATCTATTAGAAATAACTGTAACTTTATGGGACAGTTGTGACTCAAGACAGAGGTCTTTTGAACTGAAATGTGCTTTTGTGATATAGTTGCATTAAAGGTCCCCTATTATACTGTTTTCCATCAATATATTATAGGTCTCATATATATACAAAACATGTCTCTGAAGTGTTTTGCTCAAAATACCAAACAGATCATGCATTGCAGCATCCCATAAGCCCCTCTGTTTCAGCCCTGTTACTTTAAATGAAAATAAGGAGCCTCCCCACGCCCCTCTGAGAGATATTTGATTAAAAAGAACACAATGGTGCTCTAGGAGGAGGTGCAGGTGATAAGGTGGGTAGGTGTTACCTTGGTTGGTGATTGGCTAATAGTTACAAAAGCCAAAAAATCGTTATGACATCATAAAGTGTCATAGTGTCATCATTTAATATTATAATTAAATGATTAACTTAACCCTAGATAAGGCCCATGCCTTTAGCTATTCTGGTCAACAAAATGTAAAATGCATATAAACTGTGAATTGCATCTGGTAACGAGTGCAATGTGGCAGCTTTTTACTTCACCCGACAAGGCAGATGTTCTGTTTACTTAAAATATGAACAAAAAAGTTTGCCTCAAAACACAGACCCTGAAATGAGTCAGACACAATTATCTGTAATCTTTTGTTTAAGTCTTCCCGACCTGACAGATTGGAATGACTCATGATGAATATATCAACACTAACAACAGTAGAAAGTCTAACACCTTTTTTTTCCTTTTGTGATACGTCTCTTACGTATTTGTTGTTTTACCATCGTCTTTTTGGGAGGGAAGATGTAGCCTGCAGTGCTTGTTGAGTGGGGAGAGGAGTGGGATGGTGAGGAAAACAGGGTTAAAGGCGGTGTGGTGAGACAGAATAGAAAGTGCAGGATTTGGAGAATTACAGTATACAGGGGTTAGGAGGAGGCTCAACATCTCCTATCCATGCTGATGCTGTATTATTTATTTATAGGGAGGCTGTGGCGCAGTGGACTAGTGCGTTAGTGCTTGGATCAGGGGAGTCGGGGTTCAAACCCCACTGCAGTCAGCATGTCGTTGTGTCCCTGAGACACTTCACCCCAAATTGCTCCTGTGGGGATTGTCCACAGTATTGAGTATTTAAGTTGCTTTGGATAAAAGCGTCTAACAAGTGACATGTAATGTAATGTGATATATAAATGAAAAAGAAAAGGCCCTGAATGCAGCATCTGTGCTGAAATACACTGCTCAAATGCTGTATGAAGGTCACACTTTCTAAAGAGCACTGGAACAATTGCCGAGTTGCTTTATCACAATCGTGTGCTAAGCTGAGGTGGCTAGAGGAATAAGAGAGAACTACAAGGACAAACTGAAGGAGAGTCACGTATTGTTAAACCACTGTTGCTGAAAAACTATTCAGCCAGTGTTAACAACCAATCAGCTTTTCTAGTGTGGCGTATTTTTTCTCCCTGTGGCTAAGTCATTCAGATAATAAGGTTCCTCTAATAACAGAGCAGACTCAGATGAAGTCAATTTACAATTTGAACACAAAACATTAAAGGCCAAATTCATTAATGGGGATTATCTGGAAAGGTTAATGATGGAGAGAGGGGGGGCATGTGAATGCTTTCTTTGTGGTTACCCACTTTGCATCTAAGTACAACAACTAAATAGTGAAATAGGAAGGGCGTTTTATCTCATGTTATGGGGTTTAGCTGGAAAGTGTCCTTAACTCACATTCAGTTTTCATAATCCTTACATTACAATTCTGTTGGCCATATAACCAATTACAAGAGACGGTATTACTCACCTTTTATCACGATATTATGGAAGTACTGGGAATCAAGTAAGAAGATACAATTCTGGTGATCCACTTTCTCTTTTACTAAATCGTTTTCTCTCTTGGTTTTTAAGATACAGTAAGGGCAGGTTGAATAAAGTGAAAAAAAACGTTGCCGGAATAATTTTTTGCTAATATGTATAAAGCTGGAAAGAAAATGGGTAGGTCAACACCTTTGTATTTATAACTCGCCACTCAGGGCTTCCATACAATATGAATTGATGAACTTTCAAATATTCAAGTTTGGGGGATCCTTTGCTAAATATGAGACAATTATCAGCCCTCAAATATTGCATTGTAGAGCTGAACTGAAACACACTTAATGTAACATTTAGAAACAGTAATCCAAGACAATAAGTACTTATGTCGTCTTTTTGTGATATACTTATTGGTTTTTCACTAAATATGAAACAAACACAAGAGGAAAAAAGGTTTTGTTTAGTTAAGAAAAGTCATAGCCCTTGTCATAATCATGAAAAGTTCATTACTGCTCATATTTGCATACAATGCTTATTCTGCACTGTAATTAACGGCAACATGAATATCTTCATTATGTGTTAATTGGCTCCTGGATCTAAAATGTTTTTATGAACCTTAAAGGCTAAAATGATTGCATCTGCATTGCTTAATGTGTTACTGTATGACAGCAACAGTGGAGTGAAAAACCTATTGAGGCATTATGTGTTTGACTAGTCGCATATCGAATGTGGAGCTTAATATCTTCCATCTGAGTGTGTCCCTACATCAGGCATCCAGCTGGGATTGTTGTCAAATGTCTCTATTCATCAATATCTTGTGAAAAATGCAGGCTTTTACCCGCTGATGAATAATGAATCGAGGTTGACGTATTAATGTTGTCACAAACACATGGATGAGTGTTTGGGAGCTGCTGCAGCTGCAGATGAATCTGCTCTCAGAACAGGAAAACGTTCTGAACGGACCGAACATTTGAATCTATTGATGAAAGCGAGGTTGTGTCTTCCAATTTTGTGGAGGGCACAATTCATTCATAATTCTGGAAAGGAATGAATGTGGTCCTAAATGTTTCCAAATTGTGTTCAATTGAAACATAGTTTAGAGGTTAAGTATCTGAATACCCTTAATGCATACTGGATTGAATTACCTACATAAAGAAAGACAGAAAAAGCTACTTTAAGGCTAAAACGCACTCATAAGTCACTTCAGCTGTCACGACTAAACGTAATGTGTCACGACTAAATGTAATGTGTCACGACTAAGTAATGCGAGTTACATATTGACAGGCAAAAATAATGCTTGGTTGCTGTTGGTTTTGTGTGCTCCCTGTAGCATGGTGTCTGTATTCAGCCTAAGATTGTTTATTTTGTCACTGAACCTTTGTCAGATCATTGTTTCATGTAACAGGAGGCTGTGGCGCAGTGGAGTGGAGTAGTGTGGTGGTGTTCGGATCAGGGGAGCACAGGTTCAAACCCCACTGCAGTCAGCATGTCGTTGTGTCCCTGGGCAAGACACTTCACCCCAAATTGCTCCTGTGGGGATTGCCCACAGTATTGAGTATGTAAGTCACTTTGGATAAAAGTGTTTAACAAGTAACATGTAATGTCAGGCGTTTTGTAAAATAGGTCATGTGGCATTTTGTAGATTTAAACTCTAATTGTGGACTAACAAAAACCTCCATTTACTTTTTTATTGAGCTGATCAATCCTGATTTCTGGGCCTAGGCAAACAAGATGAAACCAATCTTGTTTGCCAAGGCTCTTTGAGCATAGTCCCTACAGATGGTCCACCATGGTGTCAGTGCATTATAGCCTGTAGCCTAGCATGATGATATGCGGATATGTTTTCAATATGAATACGCATGAGAAATATTAACTGGCATTGCCGTGTCAGCATTATGTCAAAACGTTGTGTGCATGTCAACTGATGTGTCATTGTTTGACTGCTTCAAGGTCAGAAAGCCACTGGAAACATAGGGAAATATGTATCCAGTTGAATCAGCACAACTGTTGAGGTGGCAAAACAGCAGATTCATAGACGGGGGACGTCGAAGGGGAGGCCCTTAAAATAGCAGAATGAGACGGAGAGGTGGAGGGGGAAGGAAACGGGAGAAACTGAGCGGGACATTTGTAGAGGGCCCAGAGAGACTGAGTCAGGCAAAACACACAGAGGAAGGCGGCTATCAGAGGGTCGGGTTCAGACCTCAAGCTGAGTTTGAACGGACAATAAAGCAATATAAATGCAGAGAGGAAAAAGAACAGTGAGAAAAGCAGACTGCAAAAAATAAAACTGAAATAGATAGAGGAAGAAACAAAGAGACTCAGAAGATAATCATGATAAGCAAGGTATGAATATGTGAGTTTCATCTCAAAGCAAGATAAATCACCCAACATCACAAAGGAATAGCTGGGAGAAATCTGGCAGAAAGAAAACATCTGCCTTCAGCCCAGCCCATGAGTTGCTTTTATCTCCGCTCAGATGCAGAGTGAAGCGCTGAGCGTCGCTAGTAACACAGAGAGTAATGGCTTAAAGATGCAATGAGCTTTACATCATTGCTGTTGCTATGCAACCGTTCTATTATTATAAACAAGCCAAGCTAAATTAATACAGGTGATAACGATCTCGCAAATGAAAATGGACAAGAAGGAAGGTTAGTTGAAATAATGTTATGACCATAAGGTGTTCCATAAAGACAGGTTTCATTCCACAGGCCAGAAGACTATTCAACACCAGAACATCCATAAACATTCATCTGTTTGCAACTTGCTAATTATTTATCTAATATATCATATTCCATTTACTTGTAGACTATCTTGCATTATTTCTATTATATTTGTATGTACTTGCACATCTCAAAACATTCTCTTTCACTATTTTATCTGTTTTATTTGTTTTTATGTCCTATATATATTCATGTTGCACTGTTGGAAGAGCCTGTGACTTAAGTTGTCCATTGCCATATCTACACTGTAGCTACTGTAATGACAATAAAGCTTGAATCTAATCTTGGATCTGAATCTAAGTGACCTGAAGATATTTAATTGGATTTTAAATATGTTTTTAAGCAAGACAAAAAAGTGTTGGTTAGACAGTAAGGCTGTTTAAAGGGTTGTCTGCTCACCCATCTCGGGATGTTGCCTTCCATCAACAGGAACGCTGACTGTCCGCCGCAGCAGCTTGTTCCTGTGAGACTCTGAGCGCCGCTCGCGCATCAGCAAAGGGTGTACCTGCATGGAGAGAGCACAAGGTCAGAACACAAAGATACACTCCTGCAGCAATGCACAGAATATCAACACACAGGTGGCTCTTTACCCTTCTCTTTGTAGCATTTTAGAAAGCACTTTTCACAATGTCCCTGAAATATAATCACGGTTCTGTAGAAAACCTCTGCGGCTACATTTATCTCAGCATTCAAAGGCCAGAAAACTGCTTTTTCAGAATAGTGAATAATAGTTGGTCACAAAATAAATGCCAAAGGGATGTACAAATACAGTAGATGCCAGTAATGATCACAAAAACATGAATGAACTGATAAGCCTTTAAATGAAGAGCTACCAACGGCAACCAAGTAGATCAACTGAATCCAAGAAATGTATTCAAGGTTAATGTTGGGTACCATGCAACCCACAGGCTAGCAGTAATATCCTATTCTTTAAAGTCGTAGCACATCATTCAACTAAAGTAAAGGCAAGAATGGCTTGTGTGGTATGACAAAAAGCTAGGTTTCGAAATCCTCAACTGTAGTTCATTGTGTAATACATTACATCTAATCTGGACGAACTGGAAATCGAAATCAAAGAAAAAAAACGAAAAATAGATAGAAAAATAAACCCACAATTCCCAGCTCCACTACATTCGGCCCCACAGTCCCTGAATTCATAAAAGTAAGGCTTGAGGGAGAATAAATGGGACATTTGAAACCCAGTCACACTGAGAAGATACATCATACATTGTAAAGTACAGGGTTATAAATCTCAACAGAACAACAACGCTAGTACTTCGTTGGCACTGGGCCCCAGAACACCAAGAAATACACGACAAACACAAATGACTGCAGAATTTCATGATGAGTTTTCTTTCAAAATAACACATTTTTGATGTGATTGATGGTTGAATGCTGGGCTGTTTGTGTTAGAACACAATGAGAGTAACTAGGCGGGGCTGAGAAGCTGGAGAGTACGAAGCGTTTTAGTCTCTTTTAGCTTGCTAGTTTTCTGCAGTTACATCAGGCAACAGTCATTCGATTGCAAAGTCATACAACTCGGCCGTATAGTCTTCCTTAAAGGGCCATATTATGCACATTTTATTAGTATTTAGAGTCTCTACTGTGACATATTTCCATGCTTTAATGTTCAAAAAGCTCTTTATTTTTCTTACTGCCTGTGCTGCAGCGCCACTGCAGTCTGCTCTGATTGGTTAGCTGGCCGGCTCTGTTGTGATGCTGTGTGGTCAACCGCTTAGAGATGTCCCGCCCCTTAGTCTACACATACAATGTGTTGGAGCGCTAGCCAATAAAAGCGCACGTGTTGCATAGTGATGTCACTAAGTTACATAAGTCATTTAAGAAGTCCAATCGCGGCATTTCAGGCAGGGGAGAATGTAATTGCATTATTCCCTTTGGCTAATGTCTTTAAATGTGGCATGCAAAACATTCTAAAACACATCTCAATTAAATGAAGTCCAGTTTAACACCACTGCACAATACAACTGCAATAATAAAGGCTTTGTTAAATTACTATATCTATATATTTTTTATAAAAGGCATATTTATGGTTGAGTTCTTCTGTTGGATTGCTTCAGATTTTACAGATGTGTATAAAGTTTCTACGGAGTGTGTATAGTATTCGTTTTGCTGCTTGTTTTAGAGTTGTTTCTCCTTAATAGCAGCCTTGACAAATGCAGAATTACGGATTTAAAGTGCTTGTTTCAAATATGGATAGTGTAGTCCTTGGAAAGTGAATTGCAGCCTATCCTGTATGAACTCAATCTTCCTTCCTTTCATAAAGTCAAGGTGTCTGCGGAAATGATAGCGGCCTTGTTTGTGTTCTGATACAACGCCGCTGTGCCTCTGAGTGTGTCCTATGGAGACTAGCGGCTAACAGCAATGCAACATCACAACATAAAATCGCTGGTGTGAACACAGACTGCCCGTGTTAGAAGGTGGGGCTAACTGCAGAGAGCTGTGCAGCCCGGGGGCTTTGGGGAGAAGCCAACAACAGTGAAGGACACTGGCAGGTCACACTGAGCCATATGTCCCACAAGACAGCCGAGTGCCACTCACTCTAAAAGGTCCTCTGTTAATATGAAAACCCACCGGAGTGTGTGTGTGTGTGTGTGTGTGTGTGTGTGTGTGTGTGTGTGTGTGTGTGTGTGTGTGTGTGTGTGTGTGTGTTTGTGTTTTTTTGTTTGTGGGTGCCTGCATCTTTTACTACTTTTTGTACGTGCAGATGTGTGTCTTTCAAAGCGAGAGGAGTTCATGAACATTTAATGCAGACACTGCTCCACTTCAAGCTACTAATATTCTACTGCTGCCACGCTATAGCTGTATCACATTGGACACATGAACACAAACCCATAATCTAGTTAGACCAGCAAAGCAGAAGATGCCTCACATCATAGCATCGGGATCCTATTTATACGAGTCCATATATCAAACTTAATCAGGGAGAAGCACCATAAATCAACGGCCTACCTGATTACTCTCCACTTTGCTGCTTGTGCAACCAAAGTGCACGAAACTACATTGCAAAGCAGTGCTTCCTTGGGACCAACATATTGCTTGTTGTGATGAGATTACAGTACAAACTGCTTTATGAAAACTATATTGAGCTGCTGCTGCATACATTCTTTATGAGACCAGTTTGAGAATGCACAGAGCGTGTATGCTAATGTTTTCCCTTTTGTGAAGACACAGTCAGAAGATTTTGCCATTTATCAAGTTTGTATTTGTTATCCGCCTGTGCTCTAGTTAAATCCTGAATGAAATATATACCTCTGCATTGACTGCCATAAAGTTAAGCTTCAATCATTACTTGTATACAGAGGAAGATTCAAAATGATTGTTGTGCCACAGCAGGTCGACATTTTCATGGGGCAGATACTTTAGCTTGTTAGAGGATGATATATTATTAGTTGGCATAAAATGCTAATGTTTAAATGTTGGCAAAGTTTGCTTTTAATTATTTATAAGATGTATTAAAGTGACTTTTATTATGTGTTTATATTGCAATGAATGGTGTCCTGTTTGGTATGTTTTGCACTAAGTAATTTTCTTACAATTAGTTTTAATCAAAGTAATTTTTTTAAGAAAATCCAGATTCCTGTTAACAATACAAAATGGCCCCCCATTTCTGAGATGCATGCTATCAGTCCTCTATTATGGTTCATCATTTTATATTGCAATAATATTTTCCCCTGTTGTCATTGAGTGTGTGTGGGTTGTCTCTGTATTTGTATGTTTTAAGTATATTGATAGATTTAGTTGCAAACCCCCTTGATTCTGTATGCCGCCATAATTCATCTTAACTCTCACCAGAGTGACATTATTAAACCAGAACAAAATGGTTTAATAATAAAAAGACACCCATTTAAATTCAAGCCTTCTTAGTCCATCCTGCTACAATTTTCATTCAATTCTTGTCAATCCACACAGCTTTTCTGTAAGCCTCATTTAATTCTCTTTGCCAGATTAATGTTAAAAAACCACAGCGGAGAGTGGCAGAGCACTCTGTCGGACTAATGGAATATACTTTAGCACCAATGAGTAACAGCAAACCTGAATTAACCTCACATTCAACCAGCTCTTCATTGATCAGGAACGCACATAAAGCCAGTTACATACTAAAGCTTTATTGCGACCATGTTTCTTTATAGTGTTCCTAAATGTACGTAATAAGCAAAGTGGTTTCATAGCACATGATTAAGCACTGTGCCAGCTCTGACTTCATGAAAAGGGAATCGGGAGGGGAGTACGGAGGAGTAGCAAATAGGTAATCACACTGAATTGTTTAGTGGTTATTGGAGGGATAGTGGTGATTTTCGCTAGGGTTAAAGTAATGCTTCTTTCTGTCCAGATTTGCAGCTGTTGCCATGGAATCCAAATGGGTTTACTTTCATCTACAGATGAGTTGAGAGAAGGTTACAATATATGTGTTTTGTAAGCACAGGAATACCAACACCTTCAACTCTTTCTCTTCATGTACTGAAATTGAAAGAGGGTGCAAACTAGTATTTCCTAACATAATCTGTACACTTATAGCCAAAGTTATCTTAAATCTACAAGCATTAAACAGTTAAATCCTTGACAAGCCTTCTAGATACCAATACTACCTAATTACAAGGAGCTAAATATGGTAATTTTCCTTAATCACATCTACTTGAACAAGTACAAGCACACTCATTCTCCCCCCTACTGCTGCCCTGCCCAGTGCAATATATCACTGACAACTTGACTTATAGAGCCAGAATAACTCCTTACCCCACCCTGACACTTCAAACCCCCCCGATAAGCATCCCACGTGTACTTACAGCAGGGGGCAAACACCTCGAGGCTTATTTGACTCTGCATGTGACCGTCTTTGATTGGTCCTATGTTGCGACCATGAGTGGGCACAGTGGCACTCATCACCCACAGAGAGGCCGCATTAGACCAGCTCACTGACTTCCATCCACTTCAGATGGCACCATGTACACCTCACACATGTATTTAACGAATCCTTTCATTTAGAACACAGTATACCTAGACTGAGATAAACTTCTGTTCAAAGGCTTGGTTTGGTGCCACATAAAAGTCTTCACTATACAGAACAAACTACAGACTGACTATTCTTCAGGTGATGGTATGCTTGGAAAGCTTTGATTTATTCCTGAAAAGCCATCTGATATAGAGCGAGGTGAGATGAACCAGACCAGCAGGCACAGCAGATCATTTGTTGTGATCTTAAACAGTTAAAGGTACGTTTTAGGAACAGTCCTTTGAATACTTAAGGTTTAAACAACCTACATTATTCATGTAGAGGAAGCGAGGAAACCAAGAAAAAAACAGTATCCTCCAGAGTACAACGTACATAAGATATACTGTAACATACAGCACACTTTACTGTTACTACAGAGTCGCTTTCTTTATCTATTGTAGGACTACATTATTATAGTTTTTAACACATAAGCGCCCTTCTGATTTAGTCATTGTCTCTTATTTGGGGTTTGCCAAACATCAATCCATCAATTT